TCTCTCTCTCTCTGTCTCTCTCTCTCTCTCTCTCAGAGAGGGTCTCACTCTGTCATCCAGGCTAGAGTGCAGTGGTACAATCATAGCTTTCACTGCAGCCTCAACCTTCTGGGCTCACGTGATCCACCCACCTCAGCCTCCCAAGTACTTGGGACTCCAGGCATGTGCCATCACATCCAGCTAATTCCTTAAAATTTTTGTAGAGATGGGGTCTCCATGTTATGCAGGCTGGTCTCAAGTTCCTGGGTTCCAGCAATCCTCTTGTCTCAGCTTCCCAGTGTGCTGGGGTTACCAGAGTGAGTCACTGTGCCCAGGCTGCACTTCTTTATTCTATTCTGTCTTTCCAAAAAGCAAAACTCTCCAAAAAGCAAAACTAATACGAGCTTTTAACATGACAAGTCTCTTGTAAGAGGATAATCCAAAATTTAGTACTTTTTTAATTAGAAAAAATGAACACAAAGAGAAGATTGAAAACAGCAAGAGGATGTATTTATCTCTGCCAAATCTTGGGATTAGGTATAAAATCATTATTTGAAACTTAACAACTCTTTGCATAATATGTTGTAAATTTAGAAAATTCTATAATAGAAATTGTAGACAGTAATTGATAATATAGAATCTGAAAGAAATCTGTGATTTTAAGGGAAAAGCAGGTGGCATGGATGCTAAGGGCGCCCTTCTCAGATCCTCTTTTGGAGGTGGTACCCCCTCATCCCCAGCTACTGTGGATGTTGAAGGAAAACAGCTCACAGCTGTTCCTTCTCCATAGCTTTGTCCACAGCCACACAAGTTCCCTCCTCCAGGACACTTTGCTCCCTCTTTCTTGGAGACAGACCACTCCCTGATTAGGAGAGCCCGTCTGCCACGCATCTTGAGCATCTCTGCACATTCTTGCTGGATGTGTCAAGAATGCAAGGCTGGCTCTGCTCTTTACATGGGCCATTCTCAAGGTTGTGTTTGCAGCAAGTAATCTTGAAGAAGAAGGCAATGTCTCCTCACAGACAAACAGCAGGGCTGGTTCTCTAAAGAGCAGTGGATCCCCCAAGGGCAGTGTTCCTCTGTTATAACGCAGTGTTCCTCTGTTATAACGCAGCCCACAGAGCATGCGGGAATCTGTAATGGGCCCTCTGTGTCACCTCTGTGGGTACTGGGGGGCAGGGAGAACTGGCTCAAGCATCATGCTGACACTCTGGTTATGGCTTCTGCTATAAGTAAGAAAGTCATCTGTTTCTAATCCAAGAGTCTTGTGTCTTCTGCCAGCATCCATGAAACAGGCTGGCTTGTCAGTTGTTAAGTAGGGTAGAATTGCAGACCCTGTACAGTCCTGACACCCCTTAGCCTCAAGGTGAGATAAATTTGGTAGTGTAATTGTGCTCTGTGAGGTCAGAATGAAGTTAGTTTCTACCTGAGCCCACATTCTTGCTCAGCATGTCTCCTGCGCTGTTCTCCTGAGACCACCCCCTGGTATACACGTGAACAAAAATCCCAATAGGAACTCTGCTTCTGGGGAAGTAAACCTAAGACAATGAACATATGGAGGAAAATATATTTATTCTTATCTTTCTACAGCTGGCATAATAAAGGATAACTCTCCTTCCCATAACATGTTAGAGCACATTGTGCATGGTATGTATGGTCTAGTATGTGAATGTTTTTTGGAGCAGGGAGGGCGCAGCGTTCCAGGAGGTACTGCAATACCATGTCCATGTGTGGGGTTGAAGCAAGCTCCTATTGCATCTCCCTGCTCCAAAAATCCATTTAATCTCTTGTCTTCAGATAGAGGATGGATCAGATATTAAACTGATGAGAACAGATATTATACTTGATCTTGACCAAAAAGTTGAGAAGCAACATTATGTGAAATGTTTGATATTGCGAACAGGACTAAATTTAGCTGTTATTGAATAATGTTATTGATGAATCACGTTATTGAAAATGCTTAGTGGCAGGAAGGTAAGAACGACCTGAGAGTAGGGATTCCATAGAGAGAAGGAACGTTAGATCTGCTTTTCTGACAATTAGCAGGGTCAAGCAGAACTACAGACTAGAGCCGCCTCCTGAGGGCTGGAAGAAAATGACTATTTCCTCAAAGATTCAGACAAGTTATGACTCCTCTGTGGTTATGATGAGCAGAGATTAGAATCAGAATGGAAGTATCAAGAAATGATTCACTTCTTGAAAACCCATGGAAAAGAGAGAAGCATTTGGAATAGACCAGGTCCTCGTAACTAAAAAGAGGTGCGTACAAGTGAGGAATGATTATGCAAGACTTATCATAATGTTGAAAACTTGTATTTAACTTTTCAAGTTTAAAAAATTAAATGTTGAATAGATACAAACAATTTTCAGATATATAAATAAAGAATGAATAACAACTAGACAATTAACATCCAAGTACCTGTCACTCACTTTCTTTTTTTAGAGATGGAGTCTCGCTCTGTCGCCCAGGCTGGAGTGCAGTGGCGCAATCTCGGCTCACTGCAACCTCTGCCTCCAGGGTTCATACATTCCCCTGCCTCAGCCACCTGAGTAGCTGGACTACAGGCATATGCTGCCACACCCAGCTAATTTTTTTTGTATTTTAGTAGAAACAGGGTTTCATCATGCTGTCGCTCAATTTTTTAAAATCACGTTATCTTTAAGTCTCCTGTACACCCCTGTGTGATTTCCACCCATTTCCTTCCACACATTTCCACCCATTCCTCCCACCTGCTACCCCTACCCAAGCACCCCTATCCTCCCCACAAGCTGCTTTTGCATATGTTTCTTGGTCATTCATCTTTTCTCTTAAATGTTTAAGTCTTTTTGCCTTTGGGTTGTGTTGTTGATTTGTAGTTCATATTTCAGGCGTGTTTCATAAATCGCATGCATTTAGATTTGTTGATGTGTTGTTTATACCTAAGCTGATAATCTTTGAATATTACCGGAACATTTAGCTCTTTTACATTTATTTTAATTACCACTGAATTGAAATTATTTCTTATTTTGTACTTTCACTCTATCTACCTTATTCACATTTCATTTTTTATTGTATTGCCTTTTTGATGGATTTACTGGGTATTTATTAGATTGACTAGATATTTATTATGTTTGGGGAATTTTGAGCTTCCTGTCTTGGATTGGTGTCTTTTATTAGCTCTCAAACATTCTCAGGGATAATTTGTTTGTGTTAGTTTCCTAGGGCTACTAAAACAAAATATCAAAAACTTTGTGGCTTAAAAGAACAGAAATTTCTTCGCTTAAAAGTCCAAAATCAAGGTGTTGGCAGGGCCATGCTTCCTCTGGCCCTAGGAAAAAATCATCCTAAGCATCCCCCACCAGCTTCTAGTGGTTGCTGGTGATGTCTGATGTTCCTAGGCTTGTAGCTGCACAACTCAACCTCTGCCTCTGTGTTTACATGGCCTTCCCTTCGTGTCTCCTCTATCTCTGTGTGTTCTCTCCTCCCTCTTATGAGGACACCAGTCATTGGAGTTGGCACCCACCCTAATCCAACATGACTTCCTCTTAACTTGATTACATGTAAAATATCCTATTTCCAAAGAGGTTCACATTCACATGTTTCAGAAGTTAGGACTCAGGTGTATCTTTGGCTGGAAACACAAGTCAACCCACCATGCTCTTCAGAGGCCCCAGTCTATTTCATTTCTCTCTCCAGCGTTTTGATAAGACCTTCTCCTCATGTCTCTTAAGTTTGCCTTTCAGATTTTCCATCTGTTTTTTTTTCTCTCTGACACACTCTGGGTAATCTCTTCAGTAACCTCTCCCTTTTTATTAATTCTCTCTTTAGCCACATCTAGTCTGCTGTTAAAGCAATCCATTTAAAAACTGTTTACTGAAGTAAATGAAAGATACAGAAATGTATATATAAGTTTACAGCTTGATAAATTTTCACAAGCCAGACACATCCATGTAACTAGCTCTCAGATCAAGAAAGAGATCCTTATCAGCACTTTAGAAGTCCTGTTGTATTCCCCTCTGGTCACTACATGAACTCAAGTGTAAATCCTATATGCACCTGTAATGGCACAAGTTACTTTTTCTTGTTTTTTTACACTATATAAATGGAATCATACAGTGTGTAACATTTTGTGTCTAGCTTCTTTCCCTTGACCTTGATTCATCCATTTTGTTGTGTTGTAATTTTTTTTCCTTCATATTGTTGTATTACATGGTGTGAATATATCACAATTTTTTTTTTTTTTTTTTTTTTTTTT